GGGCGGGTGAGCGCGGCCGCCGCCGAGCAGCCGCGGGGGGCGCGGGGGGCGCGGGTGCTGAGGGGAAACAAAAACAGAAACTTCGTTTCTGTTTTGTCTGAATAACCAAAAAAAAAACCCAAAAAACTTTTACTTATCACAACTTAGTAATTTAGATGGAAGTATTTAGTGATCGGTATATACTGTAGTTGTATTTCAGATGTTATTTTGAAATCCCTTCCAGTTAGCATCCTTGTTCTGTATATAAAAACGTGTACAAATTTTTTACATTTCTTAGTTGCACAGGTTGTCTGTGGGCTTGGTGCTGGTTTGTGAAGTCGAAGAAAGCTCTCCCATTCGCATACCGGGAGCGAGACAACTCCTTTTGTAAGCCAATAAACGTTTTCTCTGTCTTTAAAACCTAATCGTTTTTATTTTGCAGTCTTCGTTCATTTCATTTCATCTAAATAACCACAGTGCAGTTCCACATTACTAGCTGAACCACAGCCTGCCATCAGTGTATCAATACTTCTTTAACCAGGAGTCTTATCATTACTGTGAGCCCGCTGGTATCAAAGACCAAGTTTTTCACTGAAAATAAGCAGAAAAATTTCTGCCCTCCTCCACAACAAACTGATGCAAGCGTGCTACGTTCACGGTCTTCTGCCACGTTATACCCAAAGCGAAAGGGACCCAGAACACCTGATGCTTTTCATTTATGATCAAGTCTTGCCTTAATGGCACACAACAGGAGCACTGAGTCTGCAGCGTATATGTGCAACTCTGCACATATATGGCATTGCCTGCTTATTCTGCCCTTTCAGTTTCCAGGATGGAAATAATGTTTCTGTGAAGAATGACATTTCTAAAAAGGATGTATAGTTTTATACAGATTATTTTAAGGCAGTAAATCACCAGAACAAGATAGCATTTATCTATAGTACTGCAGGCTATCCTTGTTAAAACTTACAGCTCTTGAATGTGGGGAAAATAGCTCCTACAGTGATTCTTAACTTCAAACAAAAGAAAATCAAGGGTGATTCTAATAATTATACACCTGTAATTTTCATGTGCTTTGTATTATAAACTACCTTAATGGAGGTTAGAATAATACAACGCTTTCAGTAATACAGCATGACAGAGTCACACGAGGACAGCACCCTACAAGAGAAATAGCAAACTTTCAATCCTGCTTAATCTTACTTGTTCTCAAAAAATAACAGCTAAAAGTGACTTCATCAGTGACATCACTGAATTTTCAAAAGGCTGTCAATCGCGTCACTTCCTAAAAGTAGAAAACAGGGATAACTACAAGCCTGAAAGGTTTATTTGTCTTCTGAAATTTGGGGGCAGGGTTTTTTTTTTTTCCTTCATTTTGACCCAAAGAAACTCTACGCCAAAGGGCAGACATAGGCTTTAAAGATCCTCCAAAGATGGAAAGGCATACAGAATCACAAAACATTATTCTAATGCAGAGCCATCCTATCTTACTAGATATCTTTTAATCACTACTCATGTGTCCCCACATAAAAATATAAATGCCTGTGCTTCCAGAACAAATGAGCTATTTTACCTGCTCATTTACAATAGGCAGGAGAAACTTCAGCATTGTGCAATTCACAACACAAGCAGACCAGAGGAAGTGAGCACCTGGAGAACTGGCTGATGAAATGGTTAGATCTCGACTCTCGAGGTGGTGAAATTACAAATGGAGCAGTTTGACTCAGCAAAACGGTTGTATTTCCTCACAGCTCTGACCATGAAAGCACATACGCTTCTGGCTCACAAGAAGCTGTCAGACTCTTACTGTATATGAAATAGTACAAGTTATCCATTTCTTTTGTAAAGTGATAAGCAGCTACCCTAAAGGTGATCAGTTTTTGGCTTTTTGTTTTTTCTCATAAGAGCTAAAGCAGTATGTATTTTCTAGTTGCCTCTCAGCTTGCAGTCCATTTTGGAAAATAATAGCTTCATGTAATCCAGTCATCAATTTGCTTATTCCCTAGTGACTGGTAAGAAAAAAACAAACACAAACTCTTTTTGATATTGTGTTCATTATAATAGCCACTAGAAGTCCAAACAAAAATTAGTACTTGGGTACTAAGTTCTGATCATACCTATAATAAGAGGCAGTTCTGCCCCTGCAGGGCTTATTGTTTAATAGACAAGACAAAAGGTGAGCAAAAGAAAAGAGCATCTTAATTTCACACTCGGGAAACCCAGGCAGAGCAGCATTGAACTGTTGTGCTAAGAGTTCACAGGCAAGCCTTTGGTAAAACAAACAGAATGTCTTTTCCCTCATTTGCAGGCCTTCTTGACAAGCAAAACAACATGCTGTCTTTCACAGCAGCAATTTTTTCTTTGGGTATGTATACACTAAATTATTTTCTCTTAAGTTTATGAAATAATATTACTAAATCACTTGTTTTGTTCTACCTTTGCACAGTCAGGTGAATTAACAGTCATGAAGACAGTAGGGCTAGGAACTTATGAGTGAGTTACACAAGGGTCAATCTCCAAAAGGGATAGAAAAAATGCTTTAAAAACTGTCAAAAGAACACTTAGGTCACTAGAAAATCAGGCCTGGTGCTAACTCAGTTCCCTCAGAAGTGAAATGAATTTAGAGGAGCTTCAAACCTGTCTGTTGGAAGATATTTCTCCTCCTTGTTGAAACTCTACAACGTTTGGCTAAAAAAATGAGTACATTTGGCTAGAAAATGAGTACGCTTGGCATCCCTTAGGAAGCAACACAATGTGACAACATGGTCAAAAGTCAAGACAGACGCTTCAGCAGGGCCATCAGGGTGACTGGTACCAGCGTGACAGATTCCATCATTCTCTCTCTTCCCTCAACCTCTAAAGACAATGCAGAGGGATAAACAACAAAAAATTTTGTGATAACAGTTTCTAAGTAAGTATTTTTTGAAATACATGTATAAAAGGACCCTTACTATATCATAGCAGAGAAATTTCTGCACAAGAAAAAGAACTCTAAATAATACAATACCAGTATCTCATATTGCTATATTGCTTACAACTTAAAAGTCAAGACTATGAGGTAAGTTTGTTTGTTCGTATTACCACCATTTTTCCAAGTCAGACTGGCAACAGTGGATTTTCCCAAGTAACAGAGGGAATGAATGCTGGAATCGTGATTTAAATTTGGGAATTTTGATTCTAAGGGTCTTTAAATGGTGCTACTTCCCAGCAGACAGACACTGCACTGGTAAAAAGGTGATGTGATGTGCATTCCTGATTGAAGCTGTCCTACTGCATGCCTACTCATTTGTAATGCAGGAATATAGGTTAATTGTACTATTAAATCTTGGGTTGCTCCTGTTAGCAGCTGTGGCCAAGATGACATTTTCCTACGGTTTTTCTCTAAAACTCATCACAATTATCTTTGTCTTTTGGCACTTTGATATGCCCTTCATGGGGCTGTACACTTAGACCAAGCAAATAAAACCTCATATAGACTCCAGCAATCTACCATTAAGTGGATTTCACATGAACATCACTTGATATCCTGTGATACAGGCATTTCCATGGTGTTGATTTTAACACATAAGAAACCCTTGCACGTTTGGGATGTGGTTATTGCAAGCGCTCTGCTTATCTGGACTGCTAGCAGAGGTCAAGCAGGGATTCACCTTTAGTTTAAGGCAGGAGAGCAGGAATTTGCAGTGGGCGTTCACACCCTCCAGTTGCAGAGCTGGAGCTGCTGCAGTGCAGAATGCTCAGAAAGGATAATCTTTTCTTCAAGGTTTTGGCTAGGCTAGTAGATGGGCTGACAGTTGGGAAGGATTTTTATGAACTCTTACCAGTGATATGCATTTATTTATGAACAGGGACTAGAATGGGGGAGATAGTGAAAGACCTTTCCTTTATACTAAGTGATTGCAGTCTGAAATTAAATCACACAAGAGCTCCAAGGGCATACTGCAGCCACATAGGTACATTTATAGATAAAAAGAAAAAATGCTAATAAATATTTCCCCTGATCAAGGTTTCCTCTTAGGAACATGTAATAACCCAGCTCACAATGTGAACCTTCTCTCCAGCACATACTGTACATAAAGGAGGGTTTCCCCACACGACTTCATATTAATTACCTACAAATAGTCATACAAGAAAAACCTCAATCCACTCATGCTCTTTACAGCCATGATTAACATTTTCGTTTCAGAAGTTCTGAGTGACATTGCTTGCTTGGAATTCATTACTCAACCTCCCTGCATAATGTATGGAAACTCACTGCTAATATGTCAGATTACACAGTGCCTTTACGTAGCACCAGGGCACCTTGCAGCTGCTTACAACTTCTCAAAAGATTGTTCATGCACTACAGATGGTTCATGAGCATTTACTGATCGTTCATAACAAGCTGGCCAGGCATGTAGGACATTGAAAGTGCGTGTTTTTAGGCAACCAAAAATACAGATATTACTCCTAGTGGGATTGGCAAAGCCCCAGAATGCCAAGATGGGTCATCTGCCTGTGTGTCAGGGGAGGGAGATGATTTCCATAGTTACGAAGGAAACAGTATTAAGATATGGCAAAAGTTTTAGAAGTCCTTGTGTGTTCTATAAAACAGAACTTTCAATTATAACACCAAAATTCCAATTTCTGTGTTGCAGGGACCAATTCAGTTTATTTACCTGTGAAATGCCACTTTGGTCTGAGGAACAATTAGTAAGGTATTGGTATCAGAACTATTTTTGGAATGGATTATTCATACTACTTTATCTTGCATAAATGAGAGTTTGGGGGTTGGGATGCATTTATTGAAAAAGGAATTGCTCAGGCATTACTCATCACAGAGCAACTGTTAACAGCTATCTCCCAGCAACTGGAAGTCAGTGCTGTGCTGCCCCTCCGCTCCGTTCTGAGCGGCTGTCACAACACTGACTCACATGGAAATGTACCATCTGCCCGCTCATCACTGCTGTATACCGCGGTACCTTTCCTTTTCTCTGGCTGCGTGACTCCATTGACCATGTCTCATCTCGGTTTTGTAACATTAACTGCTAAAACCAAAGCCAGAGGAGTACTGACAACACATTTTATAATCACTGTGAAGAATGTTAAAAAATGCAACAAGGTAAAACAAAGAAAAAGAATAACATTACACTTCAAACATTTTGAGATTGACAGGGTGGCAAGAAGTGAGTTTTATTTGCAACTTCAATGGGAAACGGAGTGTTCACAAGGGCACGCGGCAGTGAGGGGGCTTTCCCAGGGTCCCATGTAGCAGGACACCGGCAGCGCCCCAAGTGCCTAAGTCTGTTTTTTTAATGTTCCTTCTCCACTGTAATACTTGGTTTTCTGGAATTATTTTGTCATGGTTCTTTTGTTCAATTCTACCCACCTTCGGTTTATATTGTCATATCTTCATGACTTCTGTACTCTGTTCCTTAAGACCTTTGCTTTAACAGGCAGCCTGATAAAATTATGCTATTCCTACTGGGTTTGATTCTGTCCTTTCCTACATAGTCACTCAACTCTCCCTTCTCTCAGACCTTTCCTCAAAGCTCCTAGTTCCACAAATGCTAGCAGCTACATGACAAATCGTTCATTTGGGTTTTCCTTGCATTTGTCTTGAGTGTAAATTTGAATGATGACTCTCTGAGGTAACAGCTTCCTCTGTACCTTGTACAAGACAATCATCCTGCCTGCCCTAAGCTAATTCTAACGATAGTTTTGAGACATCTGTTTTCAGTTGTACAACTTTACAACAGAAGTTAAAAGCTAAAAGTGGCTAGATAACATCAGTCACTGATTTGAATAAGAATCATCCAGAAATTAAAAGTTTACAAAGCAGCTTCATGCATGTAAGCAAGACTAAAAATTCCATCAATTTTTTAAGGAAATTGCTCCTGGAAGCAACCTCACAATACAGAATCTCTCTGAGTCCTTTCTACTTCTTTGCAGTTTCACTATACAAAGGATTGCTTACCACCAGTATATAATGACATTAGTGCATTAGCTAGCATAGTACTTCACGACGTACTTAGATGACATAATTGCATGTGACAATCATCTGGATACATAATGTCCCACCAACTGAGCTAACAAGTTGTCAAGTGCAAATTAATAACTGTGTCACATTCACAACTGAAGAATATCATTTTCATATAATGAAATATTTGGTGAAATACTTAAAAGCTCAGGGTAAGAATTTTGATTAGCATCCAAAGGACTAGGAAGATATGTTTCCTTAACTTTTGGTTATTTATTTGTGTCACTCCTGTCATCAGCCTGGTAATGGCAATACGAAAATAATGCTTCTTCACAGAGGGACCCTCGTCATAATTTAGAAAAGAAAACTGCAAGTAAACTATGATTTATTAGGAGGAAGGAACACATTCTGCATAACTTTATGATTTGGGTATTTTCACTCGCACTAGTCACAAACTCGGATAGATAATCAGAAGCGTACATTGGTAAATCCAAAATTAATTGGTTTTGCACATGCTAGAAATGGTCGGAATGGTGCAGTTCTTCATTCTGAGAAATACAGAAGTAAAGAACACAGAAAAAATAAGCATTAATTATAAATTTGAAAGATAAGAATAGTTGAATAGTTTTAAAGATGTATTTTAAAAAACAGTCTTCAAGAACTCCAGCATTTCATCCATTGATTTGAACACAGTGAAGTTTAAAAAATTACGATAAAGAAAAATATAAATAGATACTAAACTATGCTTGATAGGTCCAGGAGCACTGAGAAAAAAGGGGAAACTATACAAAAAATTATTCATGCTATGAGCAGCATGAATGTACAAGAAGTTGGAAAATAGTGACTCAATCAGAAAAGTTCGGAAGTAATCAAGAGGTAAAGAAAAAACAGGTGGAACAATTAGAGAATACATTAATATATGTGGCATATCTGGGCATGAGAAAAGCTGGAAAAGGAAGAGCTTAGAAAGAGGTGAAACTACTGAGCGGATTTTCATTTCCATGAAAATATTTGCTTTTAAGCTAACAGTCACAATAATTTCTAAAGAGCACATAAGCTTGTTCATTGTCAAATGGCAGTGCAGATGTTTACTCATGTGCCTTCATTACCTGTAGCAGTAACTAAATCATTTAGCTAATCCTCGCAAGCATTATGATTGAATATTTCTTTCCGCATAATCATAACATATTTTAAAATAAACAACAACTGGGCAAGATACATCATGGTTTAGATATACTAGAGAGGTGAAAGTAAAACATTTCCAAGGTACGCCTGTTTTCAGAATTTCTCACACAAAAAGCTTTTCTGTGTTTTGTTTTCTGTTATTATATTTTGTGTCTATTTTAAACCAAAATATGTATCAAAATGACTTTCAAAGTGCTCATCTGGTTAGTTATTACATTAAAAATGTTTTTCATTACATGAGCGGGGGAGGGGGGGTATTTCAACAGTTTTTCAAAACCAGCTGCAGAAAAACTGAGGAAGAGAACCCTAACGACAGTCTAAATTGTTTAATTTTTCCTTTTTCTAGTGCTTGACCAGTTCATGTTTATTAAAAGCAACTACCTGTCTCTGTTTTCGCAATAACTGATATGTTCATATGTGAACAGGTAGCAGCTGAAACACAATTTTCCAGAATGGCTTAACAAAATCCAAAAAACATTATCACCAAATAAATATTGGCAAACAGAAAAGTCTAGGTTGTAATATTCAATTGAAAAAAAAATAGAATTGTTCAACTCTCTGATCTAGAGGAAAAAAAGGATTTGTAATCCTGAAACTCTTACGGTGTTAATAAAACCACAAAAGCGTAGAGAAACCAGTGTATTTAAAATGTGGTATATACAGGGGTTTCTAGAGAAGCCAGTTTTACAGCATATAACTGGATCTATCAAAGAATATAGTGGGATCAGTAAATGGAAAAATACTGGAGAAACCAAACAGTATAGGTGAAAGAACTTAATCTCTTCTAGTACGCACAGTGAGAAAAGAGAATGTTTTTAACAGAAAGACAGATGTAAACAGCAGAATTACTATCATTTAGAAAGGCAGTCTCCGAAAATGTGGATAAACTACATAGCAAACAAACCTGCCACTCCCTCCAGGTCAAGCTATCTGCTGACACCCCGCCAGGGCCATGACAGAATTGTTGTCTGTTTGCTTTATAAATAAAATTGCATAATTGCTTAGCTGCCGCGTAGGCTATTTTTACATCCCTCTGGAAAATTCTGCACACGAGTGGAGACAAGACACCTCGACAGAAGATGCTGAGGTCAGTTCTGATATTAAAAATCCTTTGTTCCTTTCAGAAAGAACTCCTGTGAATACTGCATTGGCACAATGACAGACATTAGGAGTCATATCCCACCTGGAATTGGTAAGATTTCAGTGACAGAGAAAATGGACAACTATAATAAGGGGACAATCTGGTAATAATTCAAAATGTGACAAAGAAAGGTAAGGGTATATGACTGGAAACTGGCAATACAGGAGGATTTGAATAGACGCGGAATTTAAGCAAGTAGCAGGGAAGCTGGTGTTCCAGTTCAATATACAGGCAAATAAAAGGCTCGATACAAAAAATGTAGAGCTTACTGATTAGTTGTTTTAAAGAGAAACATCAGGTAGACAATGAAGGATAACAAATGAGAACATTATTTACTTTTTTTATATGCTATGTAGCTTATTCCTTTAAAGGAATGAAAGCAGCTCTACACACAGTGGGGAGTCCCATCCCCACTGTCCAAATAGAAAACAAGCAGGTGGTCCCGACTTCATGTTTCTAGTAGTTTTTGGTCTCTCGCTCCTCCTATAAAGGGCCTGAAAAAGTGCATGGCAAAGGACAACCAAAATAAAAAGATGCAGAGATCCATACCGATTGGGAAGAGTAGAGAAAAATGTAGGCAAGTAAGAGTGATCTGAAGCTGTTTAGCAATGATTCCCATCGACACAGGAATCACAGAGGGATACTAATGCACGCGGCTGTGGGGAACCCCACAAGCAACGAGCGACGCACGGAGTACACTGCCACAAGGCGGAACGGGAGGCACCAGCATCAGATGGATATACAAATCATACCTATCCTGGAGTCCACACGATGACATCTGGGAGGAACTCCACTGTCACATTGTTGCAGCCTTCTCAAAGTTCAAAGTAAGCTTGAAAAAAGCGCAGCACTTACGGACATCGCTCGAGTTCTTCATACAGAAATATTTTTCCTCCATCTTTACAAAGCTGAAGCAGGCTTGCACACCGTCTCGCTGACACTTGCTGAGAGCTTCCAGGGAAACAAACAGAACACCAGAAATAAAATATGAATTATTGGCTGGAATGGATAAATATTTTTTTCTGTTTCACTACTGAGGGCTCTGTAACTCAGAATTTCTCTCAACAGATCGCCGTAATGGGTACTGCCAGCAAAGAAGGCAGAAGCTGAGAGTCAGAAACAAATTAGTTTTCAGATTTTGAGAAAACAAATCTCAAGCCTAGCTTTTTATACGTATCCCCACCCGAGTGTATCTCAGACAACAATAAGGATTTGTGTGCTTGTGGAGCTGTGGTGTAATTATACCATATTCAAATTATAACCATGTGTAGATGCTCTTATTCTGAAATAATGTTAGACTGTACCTATAGAGTGTAATGCTCTTCAACGGTGGGTTCAAACTAAACAGTTCCACAAATGTAATAGACAAGGATGTTCAGAAATTCTCTAAATAATTAAACAAGTGATTCGAGGCAAAGTTTCCAGCATTTGCGACTGCAGCTAATTACCGATGTAGCACTGTATCTGCCAGGAAAGAATCTGCCCATGCTGTGACTGTTGCTGCTACCGCGCGCACGGGCCTGGTGTCACGATTCAGTCTGCTTACTTAAACGTGGATATGAATTAATCTGACTTGGGAACTGAAGTGCTGCATTTTGAGACAGAGCCCCAACTTCAAACATGGGGATGCACTACAAAAATCCGATTTTACTTCTCTTCCTCCCTCACTAATTTCACTTCAATGACAGGTTCCAATTAAAAGAAAAATAATCAGACTCATGAACATGTAAAACAAAGACAAAACTAACAAGCTGCTACGTTGGATGTTTAATCCCTCCACTGAAATCCACTCTCCACAAGGATTAGACAATAGTTCTTTATTACAGAACGCACACGAGGGACAAGCTCTCCTATTGTGCTACTCGTTATCGTGCACAGATTTCATCTCAGAGTAATTGTTACTTGTTTAGGTGATGTGCAGTACTGTAAGTACTGAACGGCAAGTCACCCATACATTTCGTTGTCAGGGACTTTCTTCATGTGATCCTGTGCCTGTGAGTAAATCTGGATTCGTAATCTCTTACTCCGCATCTTCACCATCCTTGTTACCTTCTTTCCCTTCCCACAGCGAGCCCAGCTCCCTGAAAAGTTACATCCTGGGCGAGTAACTTTCAAGTTAAGGTACACACCAGGGAGGAGAAAGGGGAGTTGATTGTTTCAAAAAGAGACTGAGAATTTACAAAGCACCTGCCAATTAGCCAGACCTTAATTTTGCAAATTTATTTAGGAAAAAAAAAAATTAACATGAGCAAATGAGAATACTTCAGTGTTACAACAGAGTATATAAATGTCTAGCAATAGTCAAATAATTTGATCTTTAAATACAAAATAACCACATGAACACCTAATATACAGGTTTCATCTGAATACATATTTATTAGATAAATATTAGGTTGTCACATCATCTAACTACATACAGTTTTGCAAGACTAAAAATCACAATTATTTTTCTGACCAGTTTAAAGTATGAAATGATTGCATTGTACTGTACATACAATGTACAAACAAAGACAATGGCCATTTTTGCATGTTACTTCGGATTGTACTTTTTTAATTCTCCTCTGATCATGATATCAAAAATTGTACAAAGTATGAATTTGGTTACAATTTTTTTTTAATCCCCTTATTTTTCTTCATTATTTCTGTAGCACCCTAAAAATACACAGGTGATAGACTAGTACACGTAAGCTAAATATTACATGTAGATAAAACAAAACAAAGGATCAGAGTATATTACAGAAGTGAAAGTGAAACAAATGCTGAGACTTCACAAACGCTAACAAACAGGATTCATTTTCCACATAAGATGGAGCTTCAAGCTTTTTTTTTCCTGCGAAATAAAAACAATGCACATTCCAAGGAAAATGAATGCATTTCTGTTAACATGTCTCTATTTGTCATTTACATATGTACAGATGTCCCTTGAGTCTCCACTGCAGACATTGGCGTGTATCTGTCAGTCCTATAATAATGTCTTGGCAGCAGAACTGTAGATCTCTGTGGGTTCTTTCCCAGATGAGCTTCCATAGGGAAACAATTAAAAAGTAAAAAAAAAAAACAAAAACAAAAAAGAAGAATAAAAATGCTACTGGGATTTCATATAATAATTAAGCTTTAAAAGAAAATGACTGTGATTACCCTATTTGCTAGTTTTTTACTCTAAACTTCAATATGGCAGTGAAAAGATTAAAAAAAAAACCTAAATTTTAATTTAGAAGCTTTTTCATACTGAATCCACTATACAGTACCTGATTTTAGGTGACAGAGTTTTAAAACTGTCTCAAATGTCCAACATTTGGGTGATGGGTAAAAACCGTATTTTATCTCTAAATCCTGCTTAGAAATCAAACATTTCTATAAACTTAAAAATGTCAACCATCCACTTTAATTCTCAGTTATTTTATGAAGCAGATATGAACACTGCTCCAAACATATTGCTAACATCTATGCTCTCCCCCCCCTCCCCCCTTTAAGCTTTTCTAACAGTTACTATTAAAGGATACATTTTAAATACTACCAGTTAGCAAGAGGTCAATCCTTAACATATCCGATTTAAAATGCTAACGTTTTGCTTTAGAGAAGAATCATTCAGGTGACTACCTGAGCTGCTCGGGAGACAATGGAGGGTGGAAGGTCAAATAGAATCAATTAAAAAAAAAATCTGAGCAGCTAGTTCCAACTAATAGTGAGAAATCTTTTAATTCCAAAACCTATGGCTTAAGAAACTCCCCCCCCCAAAAAAAAACCCCCCCCAAACTCTACAGTCATAAAGTCAGTTTATCATTAGCCACCCCTGCAAATGACTTCAATACCTTTACAAACAATGCAGCAAAAATACAGGGGAAAATTACTACAGTAAAATGGCTACAAAACACATCTGTAACTGAAGCATGGTCTTTCCTAGCAACTGTGTGATAGCAGAACCACACCACAACCGTGTTACCATGTATTATATCAAGGTATCTTTAATATTCTGCAGAGATCCTCTACAGGTTGTCAAGCCTACATAAGAAAAAAGACACTTCTAAGCAGAATAAAATATACTATACTGTGTCCCTCCCCCACCCACCGACATCCCCACGTGTTAGAGTGCCCCAGCTCCAAAGCCTGGAACACCAGTACAGTGACACAGATATGGTACCTCATGTACTTGCTGCTTGCCTTAGCGCATCTTTTCCTGTTCACGCAGCTGGGCTTAGGCGTTCGGCTGACTTAGGCAAACGAACAAAGTATCTGCCCTGGCCAGCCCACAACCACCCACTCCGTCAACCAACTCCGGTTGGTTCGTTGCTTTTTTTTGCCCTAGGCAATCACTTCTTATTATGTTTGCATGACAGAGCTGGGCCCCAGGTTGTCCAGGTACTGCCTGATTCATCACAGAAATGGGTATGAAATCTGGGTTAATTTATGAAAAGAAAACGGGGGTGAAAAAAAAAGGAAAAACCTCCCTTATTCTGTTAAAGAACCCTCAAATTTTCGTTTTTAAAAAAGGACCCATATTTTTCTTCAGACAAGGTATTTAAAAACACCAGCAAAAGTATAACCAGATCATGAAAATGTTGAATATTATCAAAGACAATACTAAAATATTCACAGAGATATTTACAATAGCAATTCTTAAAATAATTGATTTTGCATAATGAACAGCGCCTTTCTTAAAAAAACTTGAAACAGGAAAAATATAAGTGTGGGACCATCTCTACATAATATGTTTGACAGATTCAATACTCCTACTGGAAAACAAAAGAACTAAACTGCCATTTCCTTTAATATCTACAGCAAGGTGCTGCTGACTAGCATATATATATCACGACGCATGTACAGCAGTAGTGGGAAACGTTAACAAAAAAAAAAAAAGCAAAATAAAACAAAAACTGCAAAGAATTTACAAATATAACTTTGGTGAGGAAAGCAAATCCAGAGTTGTAAGCACACAGCAAGCCATTTACAGCGTTGCAAACTAAACACAAAGGGCTAAGAAACTATCTAGTCAAACAGACAGGAACAAACAAAATTTTGTCTGGCACTTAAGTTTAAAACGTATTGTTGCGAGCAAACAAGGGATATCGATTGGAGTTAGGAAGAGGAAAGGAGTAGGGTCAAATTTGCTTTAGTAACAAAAAGAAACTAAAACAATAACTGTACAGTGGGCAAAAGCTGAAATGTTGCACCACAAGGGCAAAGTTGGCACACATGCACTTCTTACACAGCTACTGTACATAATTTATAAGAGAGAGAAAGAGAGAGAGAGAGAGACAAAGAGCACAGAAATGGGTACAGAAGCAATAGGAAGCTCATGCAGGAGAAGCAACCACACGAGAAGCACAGATCACAGGGGCAAGACAGTGATTGTGGCATCAGGGTCTCTTGAGGGCAGTAGCAATCTCCCAACAGTTACTTGTTCTCCCCATGCCCATTCCTTCGCGAGAAGGATCTCATCCTGGCAGCTAACGTTCAGAAAAAAAAAGGAGAAAAGGAAAAGGCCGAATAACTTGGAACAGTTGTGAAAACAGAAAACAAAGCAAAACAAAAAAGAAGCTGTAAGATGTCTGTCCAATTTCAATGCCCCTTTTCAAGCTGATTATTAAAAATAATTAGGCAGATAGTGATGTTACTCTTCCCCCCCAATCCCGCAATGATTCCCTGCCTGCCTTCAACCCAGCTTGTCTTACTACGCGTTGTGCACTACAAAGAATGACACAAATGCTGAGGGAACTGAAGGCTGTAGGTGATGATCAAGAATATTTTGGATTGCATTCCCCCCTCCCTCTCTTTTCCCTTTTGTACGGAATATAAGGCAAAAAAATCTATTATAACAATCTCAACAGCTGGGTGTTAACGCAGCCGCAAACGGTACTGATTTGAAACCAAACCCACAAAAAAGAACTAAAAACTGAAAATACTTTTTATTTTTCCTCAATCTGTGTGTTTGAGCGGAAGAATCCTTTGCAAAGAGCTGTCTAAGATTCCTGCATTTCTAATAAATACAAACACACATGGCTGCAGCCTGGAGATTCTCAGGTCTCCATTACTGAAGACATATTAGCTAAACTGCTGTCCCCCTCTGATGAGCTTGTATTTCTTCCCTATCTTTGCCACTTTGCTGTACGATTTGTGCTTTTTGGAGTTTTAAATGTGTTTTGATTTTCTGTTTTTGTGTGTGGCCAGGACAATTACTCCAACACAAACCTGTGGTTGGAGGGGGGCAGAGGGCAAGTGGGGTAGGGAGATACAGTTTCAAAAAAATGGAAGAACACGCATTGGAAGGACATTCTGAGACTGGTTAATTAAAGACAGGTCCATTTCGTTGCCTTTTCTTCCCTTGCCAAGATTTGTTTTTGCCAAGATACTTCACACTATGTTTATCACAGAACTCTCTCTCTATAGGATGAACAACAAATGGGGTTTCCAATAGCTGCACAATTGTCTATGCTTCATTGTGATGGGTAGCACGGCAGACGCTGAGATTACTGCATTATTTTGTATTTTTTTCTCCCGTCACTTTCACAGTCTGTGAAGCTGACAAAAGCAGTTCTGAGATGAAGAAAGCAGGGAGTGCACCATTGGATCAAGTTGTGAGGTTTTTTTCTTCTTTTGTGGAAAAGGAGTGTTAAGATTCCTCGCTGTGCAGCCACACACGTGTGAACAAGTGAGAGGGATGGGGGAATACATATGGTTTCAGTTGTTCTCAAAGAGAGACAGAAGGTCATCATTGCTATTGCTTGGCAAATCAGGAGGATCCAGGTACGAAAGCAGCTCATCTGGATTTGTGAGTTCTGGAAGCAGCTATAAAATATAAAGATAAAAGGAAAATTACAGATAACAGAAATACAATGTTGAAAAAAGGGATTAAACTCTGCATATTCCTGGAAACTTGCTTTCATATGTATATATCTGAATAAATTTCAGAAGACAGTGACACAAACCTAACCCCCTAAAATGATACAGTATCCACTTGATTGTGAATCCTTTTTTAACCTATGAGTTACATTATCATCTCAGTTCGGGTTTCTTAATCCACCTCCCCACTACAAAGTTCATCAATAAACAAAGTATTTTTCCTGGCTAGTACTGCTGACAAAGACTTCTGGATATAGGCTAGTTATGTATGTTTGTTTCATATAAAACACTGAACAAAAACTTCAAACGTGCAGTTTGAGTAAGACACTTTTGAGCTTTAAAGTAGATCAAAGACGACTGGTGTACCTGACTCGCGCGTGGCAGCGCGAGGACCACGTTAAGCCTGCAGCCCTACGGAAAGAGGCAGCTCTGCCCTTTCCTCACCCAAGTCGCCCAGCATCACCCTCTGACCCCTCTGTGCACTCACATAAGCTTGGGGCAGTGAATTGGATCAGCCAACTCGGCTAGGGTTAAAACCAACCCCGTATAAAAAGGGAGGGGGGGGGGAAGAAAAAAAGCGTGGAGGAGTATGGGGACAGGAGGGACAAAGCAGGTGGATGAGTCCTTTCTCTTTCTGTGACAGTGATCGCTTAGGGTGGTTGGAAGCGCGCATGTGACCACAGCATCACATGCAGTTCAAGACATTTTAAAGGGTCAGGGGTGTAACGCCCCTCCAACAAAAGATGCACTAGCTAATCTCCACAGTGTTCAGAAGTATCAAAAGGAATAGTTTTTTTATTCATGTTTTTAGCAACACTGGGTTTCAAACCAAAAAATATTATTTCCAAACATCGCTCAGATTCTTTTTGATCTGACA